AACGTAAGTACGTAGTAGTAGTACGTAGTACTACACGTACTACTACTACTACTACCTACTACCTACTACACTACGACGACGAGAGAGAGAGAGAGAGAGAGAGAGAGAGAGAGAGAGAGAGAGTCTTGCCTTGGAGGAACCAATCAAAGCAGATATGACTCAACAACCACTCGGCCAAACTTTTCTTGGACATCTTTAGGTGTTTCAACCTGCAAATAAGGGAAAAAGAAAGATCAGTAAGTCTATGTTGGTGAGACCTGTCATGGCTAAAACAGGAACACTTCGTGAAAGAACATCAAGAAGAATTCATCGTAAAATAGAAACTTACTGCATTTAGAGCCTTGAAAAGAGCTTTAACAGTGTTATAGGGATTTCTCGAGCCAATAACCTGCAAGATTTAGATCAGAACACAGACAGTAACACATTTGGCATCAATAAATCTCCGTGACTCCCCCTCCTCTCTCTCATGTGCACACACAGCAGCACACACACATGCAGAAACTTTCCATAGATACTCATGCACTTCATTTAGTTAAAAATGAAGGATTTTCGGACTTGGGATCTATTTACCAAGTGGTCTCGTTGATAGTGACTTCAGACCCTCCTATACAATGTTTTTTACCATAACCCCATGATGGCCACTAGGGAACAACAGTAAGGCATCATTCTTTAGATCTAACATTGAACACTGAGCCTCAGTTACAAAATTCCTACTTGGGATTGGCATTCCTACTCCAGAATTGTAAGTTTCAGGAACAGATCCATCTATGGAAGCCATTCCTCCCATTCAAGATACATGCATCTAACTGACTACAAACCCCTCCTCTCAGGAGCTCATGGCCTTCCTTTGAGAATATAACCCATCCTCTCAGGAATGCACGCCCTTCCTTTGAGCACATAAACCGTCCTTGCTGGGAAGACTGTCATTTTCATTCACTAATAGATTCTTCTTATTTTGAAGATACGCGTCTAGTGGATCCTTTTTATTCTGTTTAAAATGAATGGAAGTCTTTTCTCTCGTGTTTTTTGTTGATAGGGAAGCAAATGTCGCACATCCCTTAAAAAGAAGACTGGAAAGACTGTCAAACCCCATCTCTATACTTAATATGAATATAAACATTCATATGATAGAAGAACCAACCACTCTCCGGCCTCCATTGGTATAAACATTAAGAAAGGATATGTGCATTGCCATTCCCTGTACTCGTATTCATAACAGGATATGAGGAGAAATAAAAGTTCCATCCTAGCCTTCTGAGAGTAAAAATGACAACCTTAACATTGTCAAAAATGGGATAGCGAAACAGCATTTGCTTTGAATGCCATGGAAAGTTTTGACTAGGGTGTCAACAAAGACTGCCTAATTCTACTCCTTGCACTACCAATAACTGTAGCCCCAAGTAATGGCATTCCTCTTGATCATCAATGTATTGCATAATGTAATTGGGTACACTGTAAAACTATTGTGTGAAAGTTACCATGGTTCAACAAATAGAAAGTCGGGCTCAGCCCAATTACTGGGCTATAGGCTCTTCCCGAATCATCTCATTGAGAAATTTTAGATTGGTCTGCTCCAAATGAAGGCATGATATTTCGTTTGGATTAATTGTTTACAAGAAGATTGTCCTTCAATAGAGCTCACAATTGATTCAATATTATTGGAATATGTGATAACCTATGAAATTTAAGGCTGTAAAAAGCATGGAGGATTTACTTTTTCCAAATAATGTGATTGGAACCAGTTACTTTAATAAATGATATGATTAGCATGACCAATGTCAAAAGAAAATGCCAATGTGAAGACGGTAAATCACATTACTTTGCAATTCTATGCTGCTTTTTCTTTTTCCTTTTTCGGAATTTTTCGGCTAGTTTCCTTTTGGAAATAAACTAGCGTCAAGTGGTATATGGAGATGACACAGGAAAACCCCTTAGTGTTTGGGGATCAGAGGAAAGCTAGAAACCAAAAGAAAGATTAGGATTGGACATCAAATATCCATGAAAAGAACAGAAAAGGGAGAGGATGGGACCAGGAAGAGTAAAGTGTTTGACATTTACCAAAAAAAAGTGAGTCAAGAGGTTTAGAGATGAACATAGTGGTCATAAGGGAGAAAAAGAAGTGTGATAAATCAAAAGCGGGAGGGAGGGAGCATCAAGAAAACAAGAGACATTTAATTATTGGGGTAAGTAAATGAGACAAAAGGTGAGGCCTTCAAAGAAAGAGAGCCAGAGGAAGAAAATGGCTTAGGGATATTTTATTAGCTCCTGTTCAGGCCTTCAATATTTTTTCAGTTATCTATCATCACTCACATGAAGAATGACAAGAGCTGTACAGACCTGAACAAACATTTACTGGGTAGAAGAGAATCAATTACCTTCGACTTGACATTTTTGAATCCAGCCAAATGCAAGATTGTCTCAACAGTTCTGCTAGCCTTCATACCAGTAGTTGTTGGAGCAGGCCACAAGTATATCTGATGGGGAAAACGAGTGTTAGAGATAATAAACTGACAAGGTGAAATTTTAAAGACAACCATAAAGGAAAGACCTTAGTTTGTTTATATTTTGTTTGCACTGCATGGGCAATGGTGTGCTCCTCGTATCTTTCCACGTAGTGGAGATTCTGAAAGCATTTCTCATATGCCTGTAAAGGGAGAAAGATACGAGAAAAAAACACATGATTAATGCCATAAACGCTTCAAGTTCAAAGAAAATCTGTGGGAAATAACATTCCAGCGCATGCTTTTACTAATTTAATTAATCAAAGTCAAATAACTTTGAATTTGCTTGTTTTCGATATTATCAGGTGACTGAACAAAACACAGATGCATAAGAATGCAATGTACCCCAGAGTTTCTGATTCACTAATGTTGTCATCAAAGGGCTCAGCACAATGTAAGGTCTGAACATGACTAAAAGTACAGAAATAACTAAATAAAGTTATCCACAAAAATACAACATGCAATTGAATATTACAGGCTCAAAGAAACTTGCCTCTTGACTGTTCTTTTCTTTTATAAATGCTCCTAATAAACTATGACAAATTGGCAATGCATAACAATTTTAAGGGAACCTTGTATAAAACCCATGGGTCCACCACAACCATATACTCCTTGAAGATCTCCCGCTATCTGGACACATGGGTTTCGGGACCCATATGTGCAGGCAAATGAGTTTGTGCTTTGCACATACATTTTCAAAGATTGAATAAGCAACTAAGAGGTGAAAAATAAATACCGAAGCAACAATGTGTGAAAGTTAAATATGAAAGCATATGCTTAGTCATGAAGCAGTCAACTAAACATGGTACCAGAAGATTTATAACAATATTTATAACAGAATGAAGAGAAAAATGTCAGATACCTTCTGAAATGCAATCGGAACTGCTGGAGCTTTCGCTTTTGCAAAGCTGATAACCCCATGGTAATTACCACAAACAAGCAAAGCAGTGTAACTTATGATTTGACCTCCCTGCAACAACAGCAGAAAAGGCAGAACTATGAGTAATGAAGATAATCTCATAGGAAAAAAATAAAGAAGAGGAACAAGCATCACCTTTGTAACTTTACATGTTCTATTAATGTCTATTAGCCTCACATCAAAACCCTGCAACCAATTGGCATGACAAAGTTAAGGTTGGCCACAGTATAACAGCAATATGCATATTAAACTAAAGTAATTCCCCAGTAAGAAATATTGAACAATAAGGGGCATCATAAGACAGATTTAAAGAAAACATAAAACTAAGACTCTAAAAACTAAAAAACAATTTTCGAAGCAATATGGAGACCTGTAAAATGGACAAGATGAAACACCAAAAATATATTTCACCATTTTTTCTCATTTTTCTTCACTTTGATAGAACAAAAACATATACGTTTCCCCGTCATAAATTTCACATTCAACCATGGTTATATTGAAGAAGTGAGAATTCATTAGGAAAGGATTACCATTATCTCCGGTTAAATCATTGAATGACCAAGTATTATTTTACACACTTCTTTCTTCTAAAGGATATTTCTCACTTGTAAGATGTAACAATTTGCTCATTAATCTTATCTCAAGCAAGGTGAAAGTCCTTTGAGAGTGAGTGTTCGTTTGTGTGTTTCTGTGTGTATGTAAAACAAAGTACGTGAAAAGTGCTCTATAGAAAAATAGAAAAATAGGAAAATTTGAATATAAAGCACTGCAGCTAACAGAACCAGCCTCTTGGCAAATAAATATATTCAGCTACAAATTACAGATGCAAAGAAATCATAATAGGAAAAAAGTGGAACAGAGAATGGCAGAGAACTCATGTATTTCTTTTTTCTTTGACAAGTGAAAGTGTGTATTGTTATAAGCTCAAGAAGAGAAGCAAGAACGCAGTTCAGTAAAGATGAAAACAAGTGGCAGAATTATACACATAAAAAGACCTTCTCTATACTAGGTTTTGGATAAATAAATGAAGACGTGCTGTAGTGATACCTTTGAGGTATGCATATTAAACATTTCATAGATAATTGATTGAAGCTCACTATAGAAAATCTCAACTTAGTCAGGATTTTTATAAGAAGCAAGAGATCATATTAATAAAAGCAAACAGTGCAAAATATCAATGTTTAAGAGCCAGCTCTACTGGGTAGTGGTGACAATAAATGGTTAAGTATCTTATTAATCACTAAAAGCATAATTACAACTTTGAATAAACATGCATCACCAGAAAATTTATTGAAGGTCTCCAAAATAAACCCCAACAAATATAAACAAGCAATATTGGACTGCACTTACTTTCCTATACAGAGGCTTTCTCTTCTTCTCAAGCAATGAGTTCCTCTCTTGTGCAAGGTCCCTAATCTCCTCCTCTAGAGCTCTGCCCTTCTTTCCAAAAGTCCTCTCCAATTCCTGAAGCTTCTCCTCGAGTTTCTTGTCAATGGCATTCAGCTTCTCTGCAAAAATCTCGTCCTTGTCCTTTGATTCATTGAAATCATGTTCATCTTCCTCTTCATCGTCACCTTGAAGCATTTGCTTCTGTTTATCAAAACTGGCAACTAAGAGATCATCTGAAGGCCCTTCTTCTGAAGGTCCTTGTTCATGCTTGATCACACCATAATTAGCAGGATTATTCGGATCAAAGCTTACTTTCCACTGCATTAATCTAATAGCACGATTAATTTTCTGAATAAGAATGAATCTTTCCTTGCCAGTGGATTCTTTTAAGCGATTCATCAACTCACCTATAACCCTGTATTCGAGGCGCAGCTTCAAGTATTTTTTCTCAAATTTATCAATCTTATTCATCCACATAAAGGCATCGTCAAGAGTCTCTGCAAATAAAATCTACTACTATGAATTAGAGTACACTGAATGGTAACTGAAAAAATCAACACAAGGTAAATAAGTATTAAGCCAAACACAAGCCCCTGCATCAGCTTATACTAATCTACACTCAAAAAATTAAAGAATATTTAGGGCAGCATGTGATTTGAACAGAAACTAGAAAACAAATATTAATACATGTCAGTGCAATTAAATTACAACTCATTAGGAACTGTGAGCCGAACCCAGTTGAAGAGTTCCAAATACATTAAAACACAAACTAAATAAAAACAAAAATGGAAATAGACAAACTTTGCAACATTAGGTAATGTATCACATTCGGGGAGTAACCAGGGAAATTAAATGATTTAAATGCTGATTCTACTTCCCAGCTGATTTAAATTAAATTAGAGTGTTGTGAAAAGCTTTACCTAATAGATGTTAACTTCTACTAGAACAATCAACAAAAACCTCTATTTCAATCAATATCTTTATCATAATGAGCACTTTTAAGTCTTGAACTGCACAATCTTGATATTTTGATAAAAACTAAATAAACTCAACAAAAAAGAAAAAAGAAATCTCTTCCAAGTACAGTTCCAAACCAAATAAATGGAAAGTACAGAAAAATTGCATCTTTTATCATTCTGCATAAATGAAACAGAATGAAACTAGGTACAAGTTGCTAAAGATTTTGATGATCATGTTGTAAGGGTAAAATAGAAAAGAGTAAAAGAAGGAACTTGCAGAACTAGAATGGCAAGCATCACACAAATTGCACAATACACACATTAAAAGGAAAAAAAAAAAGCATAGAAGAAGAATAAGGCATTGGAAGAAAAGCAAAATTAGCATGTGATTATCAGTCTCACTTCAAAGCCCGCATAATCGATATTGACAAAGACATTATTTTAGAAGAAGCAGAATCTAGCCATACACATAATTAAACACACACAGATAATGAAACACATTACCCACAATAAGCTTCTAAAACAAATCCAAAATCGCATTATGAAATGCTAAAATTGTCGAGTTTTTAAATTATCAAGCAACCCCAGAATAAATTACGAGAACCCCACCAAACAAAAGGAACTAAAAACCGGGGAGAAAACCTCTAACCTGCTGAAACAAAGTTCTTTACGAGCTCTTGATGCCTCTTAAACTTCTTCTCAAACAGATCAACTCGCTTCTTCATTTCTTCGGCCGATGGCCTCTCGTCCTCGTCACTGTCCGAATCTGTATACTCCTCATATCTCATTAAATCTGTTTCATTTACTTTCTCACCCTCAAGCTTCTCTATCAACTTCCCAACACCCATATAATCCTCTTCCTCGTCTTCATCATTTACTGGTTCCCCGGCCCTTTTCTTCTCCTCTCTTTCTCTCTGCTTTTCTCTCTCTACCTCAGCAAGAAGCTCCTGAACCACTCTCTCATATGAGGAGAACCTCACACCAACCACCCCAAAATTCAAACTTGGAAAACCCACTTCTTTAGTATCAAAATTCAAGGTTTTGGGGGAACCCAATATGGAGGAATGGAAACGGTGAAAAATGGGAATTGGGTTTTGCCTGAGAGCTGGAGAAATGGTGGAAAAATTAATGGGTTTTGAGGGTTTCAGTGTTAGGAGCAGAGAAATCCATGATCTCCAGGTTTGGCCTAGCGCCATTACTGTAAATCACAGTTTCGGATCAACACATGGAGAAGGTGAAAGTTTAGAAGAAAAGAACCCCAGAAAAATGAGAAAAACCGGAAAATATAGAAATAAAATTTCGAAACAGGATATTTAGGGTGAATCGAACCCTTACTACTGAAGACCTCCTCGAACAGTAAATAACCAAAGATGCCCTAAATATTTTTCTATAATCAAAATAGGTATGAGTGCAGCAAATGCTCATACATTTTAGGAGTTTACTGCATGGATGCTAGCCTTTCAAGTTTCAACCTTAAAATCCATTTTAAAGATACGATTTTTTATCAATTCTATTATTATTATTATTAGAGATTCATCATTTAGCCGATGATCTTAAGTATGAAAAGGCAAACAAAAATTTAAAATTATAAATATAATTTTTTTGATATATTTTGGTGCACCGTCTATATGGAACCTATGGATAATTTGTACAACAAACATATTTATGATGGATGTTTGTGAATTAAGGGGTTCTTGCGTCTATTGACTCATATAACGCTTTTTTAAAAATATATATATTTAATAAACCTAAAATTTAAAATATAAATATGTTTTATACAATAATATATTTCTTGTATAAAATATATTCTTTTACATAGGCATTCTACCGTGTTAGTGGAATCATTTATAATTTGATATTATAAGAATATGGCAAACTTGAATTCAACAAAGTGTAATTTATACTCTAAATTTTGATGACACCTCCAAATTTTTTCAAAAGATGTACTTCCGGCATTAAGAATCTTATGATGGCTTTAAAATCTATATTAAACTCTAATTATGAAATTTTAAATTTAAAAAATCGTGCAAATCTAACACATCTACAATCTTGAAATAGACGGTCTATGTAACTTATTACAAGATACACTATTTTTAGAACTATGTTTTTTTTTTTCTTTATTTCTATATGTCTTGACGTGGTGATGATCAATAAGAATGTTTTCCAACTTCGGAATACTCGTTTCTACTAATTTTTGTTGTACATCTTGCTTTTAGAGTATAAGGTTGCAAACTTGCAACCTCATTTAAACTTTTTCCTTTATAATTTTAGAATATAAATAATGTTTAAATTTTAGAGACTCTTTGTGGGACAATCTCAATATTTGTTTATTGTTTTGGGAAGTATACGATGAGTCTATTTACCTTTGGTACAAAGTGGTTAGGATTAGATGTAAAATTGGGTGGTGGCTGCATTTATTTCATTGACCAAGCTCAAACTTCAAAAGAAATTTTCTTGAGCGATGTGACACACCCAAGTTATCAGATTTCGCATCGGATGGTTATAAGTAAGTGTGACTTCCTTGCATCGAAGGTAAAACGGTTTCATTGTATACAATCTTCGCTCATTCGGCAACTCATGTGTCTCTATGGGCAAATAATCCAAAAAATAATTATTAAAAATGGTATAAGTAAACAATTCAATCCACAATTTGATGATTTGAGAAGAAGGGTGTTGGAAAAAAAAAAAACCTTATTTAAGAGAAATTTCTCAATTAGGACCACCTTATAATAGTAGTTTAAAATAAGAGGTTCAGTCAGTTTAGAAAAATTTAGCCGATTCCAAATAATTGAGACAAAAGCTATTATGATGATAGTGATTATTTACTAATGAATACATTATATGCTCTTATAGTAGCACATGCTACTCGACTTTGAGTTGATCCATCATTTAAATACATTGTTGCAAACTAGTGTTTGAAAAATCTAACCGTATCGAAAACTGGCCCAGGGTTGGTTCCGAGTAATCAGTAAACCGGCCTAACTAGGCAAGTCTCGAGGGGCCAAAAAAAGTATTAGAAAACAATAATATAAAACAAATCTAAAGAAATATGGTCAAAAAAAGTATTAGAAAAAAATAATATAAAACAAATCTAAAGAGATATGAAAAATCTATTTAAAGTATGATTAAAAAAAACACATCCAAATGAAGTTGAAAATTGGTAGAAAAAACAAAAGTACTTAAAAAAAATCAATTTGAGGCCAAGGATATTTTGAAAATTTTCAAAAAGATGAAAAATGTAAAAATAAGTATTCATAGCCAAAACACTATCCAATCTTTACAAAAAAAAAAAATTAAAACCGTATTACAAACAAATCCCTTATTTTTTTTGGATTTTACATAACTTTTTTTCAAATAGCCAGCCTAATCACCAAACTGGCCAAAATCGAAACCGGCCCATGCCCAGTTCCGATTTAAGCAGCCGGCTCCAAGTTGAGCCAGCCTATATTGCAAAACAACATGAGTTTTGATTTTACCACACTCTTTTGTTAAACAGATTATTGGAACGTAGGTGGCCAAACTGTTAGTATTTTTGTTTTGAAAATACATATATGTATTTCAAAACAACACTATGGTATATTATTCTTTCCTAAATAGCTTTGATTATGGTTTTATTGTTCTTTCCCAAATTGCTTTGTAGAGAGAGAAAGATATGGGTTTGAGTCCCACATTGAAGAGGAGAGAGTTTGTTCTAAATATAAAGGCGAGAGACGGCACATGTGGGGAGATCGTGCGTGTGCGTGTGTGAGTGCGAGGGCATAGGGGCAAGGGGGCTTGATGACACACTTTGCATCGGCGCATGGGGCGCCCTGCCCGAGCACGTGTGCGGGTCGGGCTCGTGGCTCATTATCTTTTTGTGAGCCCGGCTAGTAAAGGAATCCAACGATCATCTAACTGTCATTGAGTGTGAGACATCCAACGGTCATCTGGCCATCGATGAGTGTCGGTCAGCTAGCCGTCGATGAGTGTGGGACATCCAACAATCATCTAGCCATTGATGAGATTGAAGCTTGTCACAGCAGCCATCAAGTGCATGTAACTCATGTAATTTGTAGCTGTTGGATGATGCATGTAACCACCACAAAGCTAAATGGGCAACCTCTTGGTGCTCTATAATAAGGGCCCTCCCACCCATACGATTTTACACACTTAGAACAATTTTGAAGCCTCTCCCAAGATACCATTCTCTGTAATTCCAGCAAGCAAACCCGTGGGCTAACTCCTTTTTGCTCGATTTTATCTCTTTCTCTTTCTAAACTATCAAGACTCTGGAGTCTATTGTTTGGGTTCCAAGCTTGAGTGCATAGAGCTTAGGATTATTGTTATAAGACCTCTCTGTTTACCTGTATCTCGAGGACGAATTGCCCTTCTTATGCACAACAAATACTACATCGAATGGGGGCAAATATCATCTTGAGATAGTGTTCATGTGTGCCCGAAAATAAGAAGAGTTCGAGATCTAATTTTGTACAATCGTACCATTTTTCTACCCTTATTTCACCCACTAATCTCTTACAATTCAAGACGATCTTTTATAGGTGAAAGAAAGGAGACTGTCATGACTTCTTTGAATTTCATGAATTACGACTTTACTCGACTCGAACGCTTCAATGGGCTGAATTTCAAGAGATGACAGTAAAATGTTTCCTTTTTGCTTACTACTCTCAAATTGGCTTACATTGTCACCGAGTCAAAATTCCTATACTGCCGCCACCATTGGATGATTCCACCGACGAGCAAACTCAATCATACAAGAGATGGATGGAGGATGACTATATATGCAAGGGTCATATCCTAAATACCTTGGCGATCTATGACATGTATGCCTCCATTGGCATAAGGAGAGAGCTATGAAAACTACTTAAGACCAAGTACCTCACGGAAGAGTCTGGTAACAAAAGATTTCTGATTTCTAATTTTTTAGATTTTAAATTCATTGAAAACAAACATATACTCTCTCAAGTATTTGAGTTGCAGTTTATGGTCAATGAACTTAAAGATTGTGGTTTTTCTTTAGATGAATATTTCCTATTTGGTTCAATAATTCATAAGTTACCCCTATGTTGAAAAGAGCACTAAAAGAAGATGAAACACAAGAAAGTTGATCTTGATTTGGTTCAATTTTAGAGATCTCTTTGAATTGAAGAAGAGAATAGGCTTAGGGAAAAAAAAGATGAATAAATTAATTTTCACTCTAAGGCAAACCTTGTTGACCAAAAATCATATGCTCCATCTAACAAGAAGCCTTTATTTTCTTAGGTTCATAATAAAAATTATAAGGACCAAAAGTCTATTGCTAATAATAATAATAAAAAAGTCACTTGTTATGTATGTGAAAAACCAGGACACTATTCAAGAGAGTGCCAACACTGAAAAGAGCTCAAAAGGCCGAGAGACCAAGTGAACTTGACCACTAAAGCAAAATTTGTAGCGATGGTAATCGAAGTAAACATGATCGATAAAGACTATGGATGGTAGGTCGATACCGACGCTACCATTTAGTGTCTAATAATCGAGACATGTTTAAGACTTTTGAACCAGTTGGTGATAGTAGTTTAGTTCAACTTGGAACTCAAGCTATGACCAATATGTATGGAAACGGTATGGTGGAGCTAAAGTTTAGTTTGGGCAATACACCCACCTTGAAAAATGTGTATTATGTACCAGACTTAAGAAGAAACATTGTTTCAAGATGTATCTTGAATAAGAATAGCTTTAAAATGGTAATTGAGTATGATAAAATCATTTTGACAAAAAATGGTGTATTTGTTAGCAAGGAGTATGCATGTGATGGGATGTTCAAATTTGACCTTATTAATGAAATGAATATGTCTTCTGCGTATATTGTTACTTCATGAAATGTATGGCATGGTAGATTACGACATATTAATTATGCTTCAATTAAATCTTTGGTTAAATTAGAATTAATTTCTAATTGTGATGAATTAACTTAAAAAAAATGTGAAGTATGTAGTCAAGCAAAAATAGCTGGAAAATCATTTCCTTCAATTGAAAGAAATAGTGAATTACTAGGACTTATGCATAGTGATTTAAATAATATTCTAATTAGAGGTAGTAAAAGATACTTTATTATATTTATTGACGATTTTTCTAGATTTTCTTATGTTTATTTACTTAGACATAAAGATGAGGCTTTGAAAATTTTAAAGTTTTCAAAGCGGAAGTTGAAAATCAACTTAGTAAGAAAATCAAAATTATTAGAAGTGATAGAGAAGAATATTTATCAAATGACTTGAATGAATTTTGTGAAAATAACAACATTATTCATCAAGTGACATCTTCTTATACCCCTCAACAAAATTGACTAGTGGAAAGAAAAAATAGAACTTTAGCAAAAATGGTGAATGCTATGCTTATTTCTTCTTCTTTACCATTAATTTTATAAGGTGAAACTACCATTAATTTTATAAGGTGAAACTTTATTATCAGCATGTTTTATTTTGAATAGAATTCCATATAAATAGTGTGATAA